GGTCTGTACCCTCCCTTAGGGATTTTAGCACCAGAGAACTAAAGAAATGTCACACCACAGGCCGGCCGAGTGGCGCATTGGTTAGGAGTTGGCTTGGGACACCAGCTCTGAGCAGCAGGGCCCCGGTTCAGATCCCACATATGAGGGCCAGTGACGCTGCGCCCTCTACAGCTAAGATGTTGAACAACAGATCGACCTGGAGCTGGGCTGCCATGAGTCACCGGCGACGGCGTAGGTTGTGGTGGGGCTGGCCACAGCGGGCGTGCACTTTCATCAGCCACCGTGAGCTGCCGTCAGCCACCGTGAGCCACCGTGAGTCGCCATGAGTGGCCATTCAATGGCCGGCAAGTGACTGCCTCACCGGGGAAGAGCGCAATGATCACAATATCAACATGAGCCAATGAAGCAACGTCCTCCACAACTAGACTGAAGAATAAAAGGACAGCAACTTGTCTGTTCCCTCTTCCCCAATTCCCCAACACTGTTTCCCTCCCCCAATTCCCCAATAAAATCTTTAAAAAAAAAAAGAAATGTCACAGCAAGAAAAGACCTTGAGATCATTCATTTCCAATAAGTGCACTGTGACCAGGCCCCTCTGGACAGGGACCCACCACCATCCAGGTGGGCACTGCCACCAGTGTCCACGGCCCAAGTCACTTGGGAACTGGGAGGAGGGTTGGTGGGTCCCAAAGGCAGTATATGAAGGTGGAGCCAGAATTTCGGGAACTGAAGGCTAAACAAAAACAGATCTTGGACTGGCTCCGCTTCTGGGGGAGCCTGATCAAGTACCCCACACTGTGTTGTGCCTGTATTGATCTCCCAGGCTCAGCCCCTGTCTCCCCATACCTCAGGCAGGCAGGCCCCTTCCAGGCTTACATTTGAAAAGGAAATGCAAATGGCCTGGAGCCTGCTTCGTGCTTGGAAGAAGTAAAAATCAATTCTGTTTTCGTTAAGGTGATTTTTGGACACTGTCAAAGCTCTCTCATCTCAGGGCATGGGGTGACAAATACGCTGCTGGTATCAATTACATAACCAAGCCAACAGGGCAGCAGCAGCCCATCTCAGCAGGAGTGACGCTGCCGTGTCATTCCCAAACCCAACTTCCCCTCTCTAAAATATCCGAGAGGGCCTCATCCCATCCAGGTCTGGAGCTGGCCCTTGGTGGCCCTCCCACGTATCACCCTCTTTCCCCACACACACCCCCCTTCCCCCAGAGCTTCACCCACCGACTAGCTCACGCACCAGGTCAATCATGATACCAAGCACAGTCAAAAGCTAAGACAGAAAGTCTGCTTTGAAAAAGCCTCTGACCTATAATACATTCCCAAACTAAATTCCCCAAATAAGATGTTAGTCTTATTTAATATTGGGAGTTCTGTGTTATCGCTTCTCTCTGTTAACTGAGATAATTGAGGATTTATTTTATTTATAGCATCAATTATGAGCACAGAAATTAATCCTTTAATGGGGCATTTGGGAGCCCAGCTATCAAGGGGGCACGAAGGAAACGTGGGTTGGGCACAGGCCTCTCCCCACCAGCACAGGAGGCTGCAAAGGAAAGTCCCCCTAAGGCCTTCGTGGCGGTTGGGCTGTTATTGTTCTGTGTGCTTAAGGTATTTTGCGATATTAAATAAATGGGAATAATTGGCTCCTGGAGATCTCTCCCCAGAGGACACCTGAGTAGCTTATCAGCGAGTCCTGGGAAGGCAGGCAGAGATGGCAACTGGGCCGGGAAGAGCTACCTTCTTCACTGGGCATATGGCCCTTGGCCTGTCGGTCAGCCCTGCTCTGCAGAGGAGCTGAAGGCCATCTCTCCAGACTGGAAACTGGAGCCCTGGTAAGGATTAGGGTGGGATGGGTCTGCAGACAACAAAAACTAAGTGTCTGCTGGGAGCTGTGGGAAGCAACCAGGCAGAACGTAGACCATGGCAGAAAATTGACCTTTGGTATTCCACAGCCACTCGGGGCTCAGTGGAGAGTAAGAAAAAGACGGGCTTTCTGGAATAGTTAACAAGCCTACAAACTAGCCAATGAATGTGTTCAGGACAGAAACCAGCCAAGGGAGAGGAAGAAGTTTCCAGGGTCGACTTGGTAAGACCTCCAATAAGGACAAGAAGACCCGGTGAAGGCTGCCCTCCTTCCCAGGGGACCAGGGCTGGGCAGGGCACAAATCTTGGGTCCACCCTAGCAAGAGAACGGTAAGATCTAGAATAGACTGAGAACAATATCAGACCAAGCAAGTGGAAAAGGTGCCCCACTCACATTGACCTATCCATGGAAAAGCATTTTGCCAATCACCAGCTATGTACAGCCAAGCAATGAGCCTTCTGATGGTTTTAAAGGGCAACTCAGGTCAGAGTCAAAGCAGCTCAATTCGGCATTGGGCGACACTGGCCAGAGCGGAGGGGAACAAAGAGCCTGCTTTCCCATACTTACGAGGACCCTACTAAAGGCAGAAGCCTTCTGTGCCCACTAGTTTCTCCGCCCCGAGCCCAGACACTTTGACACATGGGGAAAGGAATGGTGAGGGGCCCACGGTCAGGAGAACCATGCTCCTTCCATGTAGGCCCCCTTCGCTTCCTCTTTGCCTTCACTCTCTGGCAGAGTTCTCTTGCTCCCCTCTAAGAAAGTAAATGTGAGGCCAAAATCGTCCATACCCTGACGCTGGATTTGACCCTGGATCTACAAGGTGAATGCTAAAGGAAATCCGTGGTCTTCCCAGGGACAGTAAAACACTGGATTTTGCTATGAAAGCAGCCGTTCATTTGAAGGCAGTATTTAAACTTGCCAGAAGGAAATGTTTTATTGAGAAGTTTCCCTGTGTGCCTAGAACAGTGCCTGCCATGTAGTACTCATGGCATGGATGCTTTCTTGAATAGCGATATGACTGTTATAGAATAGACTATGATACCCTGAAGCCATAATAAAAAAGCAGTAACTCTGAAGTTCTGATTTCCACCTGTGGGCCCTGATGGTATGGGAACAAGTGGAGTGGTGAGTGACACTGGATGGAGACAGCCAGACTGGTCTTTGAAAATCAGCTCTGCCCCTTATCCTCTATGTGACGACAGAAATTTCCTTAACTTCTCTGAGCCTCTGCATCTTCAAAGTTGTATAGAGTTTTTCCTACCTTGCAGGCCCGTTGTGAAGACTTAAGGAGATAACATATGCAAAGTGCTCAGCACACTGCTGACATATCATAGATACTCATATGCTGCTCTACTAATAATAAAAGGTTGGGCAGGTGGCCATCGAAGTTGCCACTGATGTCCTCTGAAACAATCCCATTGTAACTCTGACACCCATCCACCTGCCCTCTTTTCTCCCGTGGCATTCCGAGGCATCACTCTGTGTCATGAGTCCCATCAGAGGGTACTTGAGGACGCTGGACAGTCAGAGCCACATCAGAAGCGTGGCAAGGGAGGTCCTGGCCAGGGGTGAGGCCCCCTTCCGGAAAGGCCAGGGTCAGCCTGGAAGGGGCAAATGGGCCTCCTTTTCCTCACATGGTGGCCAGCTTGCCAGCCCATCTTATCCCTAATATCTCACTGTGCTCAAAAGCCCACATCTCCACCTAAGCCAAGAGAGACAAGGTCAAATGACCAGCCATTCTTAACCACTCTGGGTGGGAGCACCTATTTGAAGGTGTGTGTGTGTGTGTGTGTGTGTGTGTATTGGAGGAAGGGGCAGGATAGCCTGTGTCAGACAGACAAGAAGTAAAGGGAATGCCCCATCAAATGTGGCCTTCACAAATGGACAATGACACCGCTTGCTCTCCCCCTTGCTACTCCCTCCCGTGTGTCAGAATGACAAATGTAATCATTTTATAAGGTCCCGTCACTTGCTCAGTCATTCCCAATAAGCACACGCAGCACTACGGAAAAACCAACACCAGCGCCACAGGGTTTCAGCCAGGAAAAAATCGAATCGCCAGGACGCCACCAACTGAATTGTCAAAGACCAAATAAAAAGCTTCATGAATTCTCCATCAGCAATATAACGCTTCCTAACCTAAGCAAATATAGACCCAGCATTTGAATTGTGAAGGGGGTTTGCATTAGCTTCAATGACTTGCAACACTGAAGCAGAAACCCTAAGAAATACACGTCTCCTTAAAGCTGCCTTCATTGGCTCTAATCCATTAGGGGAAAGACTGTAATCTCCTTCCTGAGCCCCCTTCCTCTGGTGGAATGCTTCACATCCCAGCACCATAAATACATTTCTGTGACCTCAGCTGGAAAGGGAACCTCTGAGAGATGGACAGGCAGAGTCACCTCCCTTTGACAATATTGATATGTCTGCATCTGGCCACGTGATTCATTCAGACCATCTTGCAATCACCCAGGTAGGCTGGGTCATTCAATCACAGTCAGGCTAAGAAAGTAAGACTACTCCTCCGTCAGTGAGGAAAAAAAAATGGGGTGCCCTGCTTTTCAAAAATCCCAAGTCCAAAGTCACTTAGAGAAAGTCTGTTCGGTGCTACTGAACCCTTGAGCATCTGTGGCAGCAGAAAGTAAACGTGAGGCAAAAGAGAGAACAGCCTACAAATACACTACAAAGAAGAAATGCAGGAAAGATCCAAAAAGAGGGCTATCGGTGTCTTCTGTTCATGGAAACCTGTGCCCTCCTTACAACACTCCCCGAACTTCTCAGTTTTGTTCCTCCCCGCCGCTGCCATGTTCTTCTCCCCATGGCCGCCCTTATATGCACAGACGCACATAAAAACGCAGCAGTCACCACTCACACCCCCACCCCACATACACACATGCACAGAATGTGTGGCTGGATAAAGAAATGGTGAGTTTTTCCATGTTTTATAAAACACATGCCCCACTCCCGAAAGAAATCTCAATTCCGAGCAAGCCACCGCCCCCAAACAAATCACTCATGGGCCTCCCTCGTTTGATGCCCCCACAACTTGGAAAAGCCACTCTGGCCTCCTGTGCCCAGCCCTCTCACCACCCCGAGCCTCGCCCTGCGCCGGGCCACCGGCACCCGCTTACCCCAGCGTGGTCATGGTGACAATGGTGTACCAAAAGGAGGCGGGGATGCTCGTGAACTTGCTGGCAGAGGAGCCCTTCTCGGCATAAAACATCACAGTGGCAAAGATGATGATGGCCATGGTGAGGGAGAAGAGGAGGAAGCCGAGCTCGGAGGCGCAGCTCTTCAGCGTGTAGCCCAGGATCCGCAGGCCCTGGGAGTGGCGCGAGAACTTGAAGATCCGGAAGACGCGGAAGACCCGCAGCGTGACGAAGGCGCCCGACACGTCCTCGTTGTTGGTCATGACCAGGCCGATGTAATAGGGCATGATGGCCACCACGTCGATGATGCTCATCACGCTGCGGATGAAGCGGTAGCGGCTGGGCGCGGCGAAGAGCCGGAGCAGGTACTCCACGGTGAAGATCATGACGCAGGCGGTGTCCAGGCAGAAGAAGGCCACCGAGTAGCGCTCGCCGCACGGCAGCTCCTTGCTCCCGGGCACCGTGCCGCACGGCACCGTCTCCACCACGTTGGTGATGACCGAGACGGCGATGAAGAAGCCGGTCACGTAGTAGAAGACCAAGGCCAGCGTGCTGGTGTGCGGGTTCTCGAAGGCCCGCCACATGGTCTGGCGGAAGCTGAGCGAGGGCATGGACTCCTGGTTGTTCTCCGAGTCGTTGTCATCCATGAGCCGCTCGGCGTTCTCCCTCTTGCGGTCCTTGTACTCCTCGTAGCAGCAGTCCCCAATGATCTCGGGAAGGATGCCGTAGAAGGCCAGCTCGTCGTCATAGGCCGAGATGCACTCGTAGCGCGGGTAGTGCAGCTTCCCGGTGCGGTAGAAGTTGAGCACGCAGCGGAAGACCTCTGGGTCCCGGTCGAAGAAGTACTCCTTGGTGTCCTCGTTGAAGAAGAACTCTTTCTCCGTGCTGCCCAGCAGCGTGTCGGGGTAGCGCTCCAGCGTGGTCCGCCAGGTCTGGAACCTCCGCCCGCTCACGTTGAGCACGATCAGTTCATCCTGCCGCTTGTTCTTGTCCGCCGGGGCCAGGGGCATGGGGCAGTTGGCCACTGGCATCCATCCGATGGCCGCCGCCCGTGCAAAAGGCAGCCAGGCTGCCACTCCCGCCGCCATGGTGACTCCAGCTCTCGGGCCGGCCACTGTGCAGATACTGTGCGCACCAGCTTGGAGTTAGTTCAGTGACCCCTGCGGACAGGAGGAGAGAGCAGAGAACCGGGTGAGTCCATGATCGACTCCCAGGGGGGAAATGGGACACAGGGAAGGGTCCTTGGCGAGGGAAACGGCCAAAATCTTGAAGGCAAATTAATTAAACTGAAATCACCACCCAAGAAAGAGGACTTGGTTCTTTTCCATCCTCCCCTCACAGGGAGGGCACCTGGCCCTGGGGCAGTGCAGCTGTGTGGGATCACCAGATGTTGTTGACTGCCTGACAAATTGTCAGTTCCGAGGGTTCAGGAGCATGTGGAGGGAAAGCCTATTTTGCAGGAAGATCTGGGAAGACATGGGAAATAATCAGCCCTGAAAGGTTATGGCGTTGTTACGCATTTAAATTGGGAGAGGGTAAATGAGTTCTCATTAAACGAATTTCAAAGTGGGATAAACATGCTAATTTTTATTTCACTCTTCACCCACCAGGGTAATCAGGAATGGGGTGTGGCTGAAGGAGATCAGGTAAACACATTCTTTCTACTCCTCACTGGTGATGAACAGGAGGCTGGAAAATTCTCTGCCATGGCAGGTGACTATAGTAGGCCAGTGCTTGGCAGAGCTCTGTCCCCAAGTCCTATGGAGAAGGCTGTCCCTGGTGGAGTGCTGCTCTCTGGGACACCTAGCAACCTAGTAGCCAGTGACTCTCAGAGCCATGATAGAAAGATGCGGGAGAGGCTATGAGGCTAGGAAGGGTCCCTTCCCCACCTTGTAAAGGGACTCTTGGATTCTTGGTTCACCTGCCTTCCATGCATTGCCCCTCTCCCTCCCAGAGGAAGCTGACCCACGCTTGCTGCCATCTCCAGATTCCCCGCCTCCCATCTCCATCTGCCCACCATCCTTAGCTCCCTCGGCTTACATAATAACGCTCTCTCTTATGCCAGCCTCTTTCACCTGGCCCCACGCCACCCTCAGAGGTTCCTTCAGAGCTGGGCCACCTTGTCCCTTCACCCACTGCTCTCCGAACTACACTGTGTACACACACACACCCCGTCACCTATATGGATGGAGGGAACAGGGGCACAGAGAATTATATTTGGCTTTGGGAAACAGATTTACCTTCCCAGATCTGGCTTTTTAAAGACGGTAGTGAGATGACTCTGCAATCCCCAAATGTACACCATCTGTGGGAAGACATGTGGTGACACAGAAACACACGTAACAGCAACGGGAAATTGTTAGGGTTGACACACTCGTGTTCACTAATCCTAAACTGATCACACAGCACCAATAAAGACTCAGAATTCTTTGGACACTCTGGAATGCAGTTGGTTCAACTCTTTAAAGAAATGAAGCAGAGGGTGAGTCTTGTAATGGAATCTGAGCTTTCTCTCTCCCTGTCAACCTGCTTCCTTTTCCGGACTCCTAGCTTTTCTAGGATTTTCAGAGCTGAGCCGCCCCTAGACTTTCCCAGTGGATGCCTCTGAAACTGGACACGTTTAACCCAGATCTCCCTCCTTGCAAAAAAGCTGCCTTTTACCTTTTGCTCTCAGCATCCCTGACCCGAGGCCTGTCACCTTGGTCACTTTCCTCAGTGCTGCACCCAGAGAGTTGCCAAATAACGAGACAATGGCTCTTACTGCCCTCATTAAGGCCCCAGTTGTCTCAGGCCTCCTTCCTACTGACCTGCTTGTCTCTCATTCCACCCCCCCCAAACTGTTCTGTTGTTTCTCCTGTTCCCCAGAAATCCATTCTGCTCAATCAACTCCCTAAGCAAGGCTCTGATGGCGCTTTACAAAATCACAGCCTACAAACTCAAGTCCAAACTCCGTGGCCCAGCATTCCAGCATTTCCACGATGGGATCCTGGCTTACCGCTCCAGCCCCCACACTCTTCCTTCTGTTGGCAATATCCTCCCCTTCACCTCTCCTTTTAGAACCCTACCTATTCCTCACCCTCGCTGTGATGCCCTTTCTTCTCCCCAGGGTAAAATTCTCGCTTCCTTTGGGCTGTCAGCGCTGTGTTTGCCCCTCTTCTCCAACACCCATCACCCTCTGGCTTGGATTACAGACACTTCCTACATGTCTTATTAATAATCATGGCTAACAATAACTGAGCAGTTCCTCTATGCCAAGCACTCCTGTGGGTCATCCATCCTCACAGCAGCCCTAGGAGGAAGAGTCTGAAGTGCAGCAGTCTGCCAGCCAGAAAGGAGCAGAACAGGTATCCCACCTGGGGCTGTGTGAGCCCACACCACAGGCCATGAAGCACTGTGCTACCCCACTTCTCAAGGTCTCCCTGTAGGAGAATAATAACAGCTGATGTTTACTGAGGGCTGACTGTGTGCCAGGCACAGTGTCACAAGCTTGCATGGACCCCACCAACAACCCAAGGGGGCAGACACCATTGTCGTCCCTGTGTTGCTGATGAGGAGAACGAAGCAGGAGGAGTTGGACTAAAGGATGTGATAAGTAGGCAGAGAGATTTAAACCCAGGCAGTCTCAATGTGGAGTTCAAGGGTGCAGCCAGGCCACTGCCCTGCTTTCCCCATCCCATACTAAGTTCCTCAAGAGTCAAAGGCCATGACCCCTCAATTTTTACATGACAACTGAAGAGGTGGCACTGTGCACTGCATCAGCAGGTGCTCAGCCTGCAGGCCCTGATTTTACAGTTGCCATCTGCACTCCGTCAGTTTTACTCCACGCCTTTCTAGTGTATTTCAGAGGTTTCCAAGGGTGGGCATTCTCTCTTCAAACAGAAAAACACTGGAGACAGATCTGGGTCAAAGAACCCAATTGAAGTGCCTCTGACTCACTGTGCCTTCAGCCGCATTTTCCCAAGGAGCAGATCGCTGCCTCAGTTTCCCCATCTGCATGCCAAGGAGAATATTCACAGGTTCCTCTACTCCCTCATAAAGGGGTATTGATTCGGGTGCCCCCGAAGACAAGAATGACAATGACTTTCCCTGGAAATGTCATCACTGAGAGAATAGAAAAACAGCACAGGCCTGATGAGCTCTTGATTACAGGAGCTGAGGAAAGAACGGGGGCTCATTCATCCACGGCAGTGGGCAATCCATGTGCCACTGAGAGAGGATTTGGGAACACGTCCTGTGCATTTTATCTTCCTTCAAGACGACTCCCTACTTCCCTTGGGTTACTAGGAGAATCTGAGTCCCTCAGCACACACTGAGCTAGGATTTCTAAGGAGCAGGGGAAGTCTGGGAAGCAGGCCCTCAATTTATACACTGGTCACAGATAATTCCAATTCGGGTTTAGTTAACATTGGACCCCGACAATGTTAACTAACATTGATTTATCCCACAAACATTCGATTTATCCCACAAAAACCTATGACATGGACATTTCTGCCTACAAGTTTCAGGTAAGGAGACTGAGACCCAGAAAGTTTCCTTTGAACTGGCTAAATTTCAAGTATACAGGAGTTGGTGATTTTCTAATAGGCCGCTGATCAGCTCACTGCCAGGTGACTTTCCTGACCTAGGTATAGCCAGATCCTGCAGGGTGCAGAGGCTGCCTTCCCCCCCCCCCCAGGTCCTGGGCAGCCAGGAGCACAGGGTCAGGAGGCCCTGCCTTCCATGGTCAGAGCTCTCCTGAACTTGGGGAAGCAAGGCACCAGCACCCTCTGGGCCTCCGAATCCCCATCTGTAAAATCAGAGAATTGGACAAGAAAGCAACAAGGAGCCCTTTGGCTCCAATAATCCTTGATTCTACTGGATCCAGGACATCCAGGCTGCAGTTCACTCAGCCCTCGTCATAACTGTCGCCCATGCAAAGCAGGAAGTAGAGCATCTGGGTTTGTTGCTGTGGGGACGCAGTTAGCGGAGTCTCTTCTTAGCAAAGGTGGTTCTGGAAACGCCTCATGAGGCTGGTGCCCAGAACAGGGCACACAACCTGCATCGCTCAGGACTCTAGGCAATCGGAGGCCGGGTTCACTCACTGAATGCCTGGCCACCCCTCTGGAGGGTAACGGGGGCCAGGCCCCCAGACCCTGGGCCCGGGCCTCTGATGCTTAACATCTCTGTTTTATCCCCAGATGGAGCTTCCACAGTCAGGACCTTGAGGGGGTTTGAGTGGCAAAGAGTAAGAGACTGCTGAGCCAGGAGGCACCCGGTGGTGGCACCCTGCAGGGGTGCAGCTCTGCACCCTCAGAAGGCGATGCCCTTCCCCTCCCATTCTCCCAGTGCTGCTCTCCCTGACCTCCAAGCCTCAGTGCCTGGTACCTCCCCTTCACCAGGCTGAGCCCTATCACCTTACCCTCTCTACCCCACGCCAACCTCTTCTTCTCCACAGGCCATGAGTATTTTACAAACTGCTCTCAAGTGAATAATTGAGAGCTGGGGAAGGAAAAACAACCCCTCTGTATCATAGAAGCGTCTGGTCCCAAGACCAAGTTTACTCCAGACATTAATCCAGGACAATCTTCCCAGAGAAGGGCAAGCAAGAACGAGGACATCTCCAGAGGCTTAAGGCCTGTCCACCTGGTAAAAGGTACCAAAACAGGAGCAATTACCCCACTGCTACTCTCTCTCTCTCTCTCTCTCTCTCTCTCTCTCTCTCTCTCTCTCTCTCTCTCTGTGTGTGTGTGTGTGTATGGGGGAGGGGGTCTGGGTTTGGAAGGGGAGGAAGTGTCCCACCAGATACCATGCCCAAGGCCACTCCAGCCAGACCCTCCACACAGCCCTGCAGGCATGACCCAGCCCAAGTAGGGCTTCTCCGATGCTCTCAACGCGGTGTGGGCCCCTGACAGGCACCTACACCTCCTGGAGCCGACCTGGGTATGAATTTCTGCAACAGGCACAACAGTGCGGCCCCATTTCCAGCCAATGGCACTGCACATGCCTCAAATGCCAAGGTTTTACTAGGACGTGAACACCTTACAAATGAAAAATCTGAAGCTATTTTTGTTTTTGGCAGAAGAGTTTGACAGTGGGAAAGATGGGGGTGGGGTGAGTCTGGGGAAGAGACATTTAAAACAGGTGAGCGCTGAAATGACAAAGGCAAAACATCCTAGAAAAGGGAAACAGATTTTCCCCTGCTGTAAAAAGCCCTGTTAAACAGCTTCTGTTTGGGAGAGAGGGAGGGAGAGGGCCAAAAGTGGACAAAGGGACCAGACAGCCTATCTGGGGATTGACACCTAGCCTGAGCACAGGCTCAAGGCAGCAAACATGTCATATCACCAAGGTCTGCCCTTTAGTGACCTCGGGAGACCGCTGGGGGTGGAGAGGCTCTGGAAACTTTTACTTTCCACAATTTTACATCACATTGCTTAGCTCAGAATGAGGCCAGTCTGGGGGAGGGGAGGGTCCTGACAATCCAGGGGCCTTTCTCCTGTGCCCACAGGGTTTGGGTACGCATGCGTGAAACTGACAGGGTGCCAAGCTGGGGATCCTGTGGGTACAGGCCTGGGACACACACACACAGATCCTCTTCCACATTGCCACTCCTAGACTGGCCAGGGCACTTTCCTGAACTCTTTTTCGCCAGCCTCCTCAATAGCAAAAGGGAACAAGCTACTAATCTTTCTTCCTCTGGGGGTCCCTTGTGTACTTGCGCTCTCGTGCATTCAAGTAGTGACAAGGAAAAATAAACGAGTCAATCGCTGACCCTGTGCCAATATGTCCACATGGGGAAATGTACACATGCTCTGCATGGAATTAGTGCGCTCCCAGACCCCCTTCTAGGGACATGGAACACCCAGGTCCCTTTGAACTACCGGTAAATAAGGCATAAATTGAACCATCACGTACCTTGGCGCAAACTACCAGCATGCACCACATAGCAACCCTTGCCGGGTCTTGTAAATAGATAGCTTTTGTGTCTGGGATCACAAGAAAGTTCGGATACCCACTCTTAAGAAATACAAGAGTCTTGTCTATGCTGTAAGATTCCAGGTCGGGAATCTCAGCCTGTTGCTGACATGTCCCTGCTGCCCGGGATAAAAGCAGGGCATCTTGGACTTGATTCAAACGTCAGCACTAAACAAGTGCAGGAATTTAGTTGAATCCAGGTAACTTCTGCGCCCAGCCCCTTCGGCGCCCCATTCCTAGTATAAACATCTCGCAAAGTGGGTCTTTTGAACCCAGCCTTCCCGGCCGCGTTGGGCCCGCGTTGCCCCTTAGAGACCTTTCCCAGAGCTCGCAGGGTGGAAGTGGCGTCGGGCAGGACCCGATAGATGTGTGGGTCCCCAGGCTCGCCGGACTGGAGAACTTTGCGAAGCGCCCCAAACTGCTCCCTGCTTCCGGCCTCAGCCATTTCTCGCCTTCTCTCCTCACAAAGAGCGGGGGACCGAGCAAGCCGTCGCCACCTGCCGCTGGATCCCGGGGCACTGCCTCTAGCACCCCCGAGGGAAGGCAGGCCAATGGAAAGAGGGCAGAGGTTCACATACACCCCCCTCGCACTCCCCAACCTCACATTGCCTTGCTGCCGGCGGTGGCTCCGCAGCGGGCGGACGCCCCCGGGCCCGCTGTCTGCTCCCCCGCGGCGCCGGCCCCACCCCCAACCCTTCCGGCTCCCCAGCGCCCACCCACCCAGGCGCGGGAGTGGGAGGGTGCCGCGTGGGCAGCTGGAGCAACAGGCGTGGGAGCAGCGCTCCTCACACTTCCTGGCTCCGGAAGGCTCGGTCGCGTCCCTCTTACCTTCCGTGAAGCAAGCCCGGGCCCCGCGCCCCGCGCGCGCGTGCAAGCTGCTGCCGGGAGCCGGGAGCCGGGAGCCGCGAAGGCGCCGAGCGCCCAGCAGCGCGGGGGAGAGCCCAGCAGCCACCTCCTCGCCGGCGAAGTCGAGCTCTCTCCCTCCCTCGCTCGGTTGGTTCGTGCGTCCGTCTGTCCGTGGGCCCCTCCCTCCCCCGCCGCCGCCGCCGCCGCAGCCGCCGCTCCAGCCCAGGCTCGGCAGCGTGTCCCCTCCCCGCCTCGCCGCTCTGCTCGCGGGCTCGCGGGCTCGCGGCTCTCTCGCTCGCTCCCTGCCCCCGTCGCTACCAGCGCAGCGCGGAGCGGAGCCCGGCGGCCGCGGGCTTCCTGGCTAGGTCCGTCTCCCGAAGGGGGAGGCAATGGGGGCGCGGCGCGGGCGGGGCGGAGAGGAGAGTCCGGGGGAGGCAGCGAGGCTGCGCCCTGGGCTTCCGACCGATCTCCGCCGGCGAGCGGCTCAGGCCCGGGGCGAGAGCGCGGGGCCGCCGGGCAGCGGAGGGAGAGATGAGGAGGACCCGGAGGCTCGCCGCGGACGGGGGCCCGGGGCGAGGGCGTGCACGGGGGAGTGACTCCCGCGCGAGGGTGTGTGTGTGTGTGTGTGAGAGAGAGAGAGAGAGAGGGAGAGAGAGGGAGAGGGAGAGAGAGTAGAGGAGCGCGCGCGTGAGCGGGTCTGGGGGGTGGGGAGACGAGGCAGAGCCTGGTGCGTCTCCCTGGGCGAGTGGAGGAATCCTAGGGTGTGCCTGGAGGTGGCGGAGTGTGCCGACGCGGGTGGGCACGGGGGTGAGCGGGGCAAGGTGAGCTTGGCTTGGGGGTGGGGGCGGAGCTCGGAGTAAGCGTGAGTGTGAGCTCGGGGGCTTGTATGCTGGGGACCTGGGGTGAGGCGGCCGTGAGCGCCAGGGTGCGCGCGCGTGGGGTGCGTGGCGACCTAACTGGGTGTTTCTTTCTCTCCGACTGCCCACGCGACACCAGTCCTTGCTTGCGGCCGAGCCTGGCCACCTGACGAAGTGGAACTCGCCACCGCGCAGGCTTTCCGGCTCTCCGAGCTCTCAGCTGCGTGTGCTGGGGTTGGACAGGTCCCGGGGGTGGGAGCGGGTGAGGATCTGGTATACACTGCCCTTATCCCAGATAAAAGCCGCTTTCCTCCCAGAGCGCGAGCGGCACGACCCGAAGGTAAGGATTCGCCCTCCTAGTCCACCCCACCACGTGTACCCAGTACCCAGACCCGAGAGTCTGGACCTGGGAGCCTGAACTCTCAACCTGGGTCCGCCCAGTCCCTCGGCCCGTCCCCGAAGCCCATGGATCTCCACTGCCCGGTGCCTCCGTCCAGGACGGGGAGCTGGCAGTCGGCACGTGCCACAGGGCCCAGCGGCGGGTGCGCCCAGCATCCCTGGAGAGTGGTATCCCGCCCAGACTTCCACATTCGCGGCCGCGGGGCGCGGAGGGTTCAGTGCCGGCTGACTGTGCGGACAGGAGACTCCAGCTTTCCCCATGTCTCCGGCCCCGGTGCCCGGAATCAGGGATCTTGGACTGGCGCTTGGCAGCAGGGACCGGAACGCAGGTCTTGACCGATGACACTTCTGGATGCAGGGAGGTGTGTAACTGAGACAGAGACGGAGGGAAAAGCAAAGTGTGTGGTGAAGGGGAGGGTGTGATTGAAGGAACAGTTCTAGCCTGGGCAGGGGTTGATTCAGAACGGGGCTGCTGGTTTGTGAGAACCCCTACCTTGTTCTAGATTCACGGCGGGGGCCGGTCACTCCGGTCCAAGCCCCTGTGGCCCCTGGAGCCCCTCTTTCACTCACTCCGCCCTCCCACTCTCCCTAAAGCCCCCTTCAGAGTGTCAGCCGAAAGGTGTACAATTGGCCCTTCAAGAGGTGGGTGTGGATTACATTAGCATTTATTTGCCAGGAGTCCCACAGCCGTGTGGGATTTGCATACTGATTTGCATACAGTAATAATGATTAACAACACTGCCACTCCCTGGCAGACAGGGGAAGAATTCAGGGAAGGCCCTGGCGCTGCTCCCACCTTCCTCCTCCCTTCTCTCTGGGGAAGAGCTCATTTTCTCACAACTGCCCCTCTCAACTGTTCTGACCCCTGGGAGTGCCTCAGACTCTGGGTGGGCAGGTCCAGGGAGGGGCATTTTCTCTCAGTCCTCCACCCCCATGTCCAGCTTGGCAGAGTTAACACCCAATGTTTTATTTCTGCCCAGGTTTGAACTCCTGTACGTTTCAGTCTTTGTTTTGCATCTTGGGGTCACTCAGGAGCTGGGTCTGCCCCAAAACTTAGAGGCTTCCCAGAACAGTTAGCGGATGGCACCCTTCCTCCTCCAGAGAGACCAACTCATGGGATGCTGTGCTGTTCTGCTCTTTGTAGCCCTGTTTGAAGATGGGGCACTGATTCAACCTCTCCCTCTCCTGCCTCCAAATACACACACCTGGCCCCCCTTCCTCCCAGGCTCACATCTTAAGTGAAGTAGCTGTAGATGATATTCTTTCTGTTGAGAAATTCTAGAGTAAAATATGAAAGGCTTGAATGTCTAGTCTAGGCCAATGTGGATTTTATTTACCAGCACTTCTCACGACCAGGTGACTTGGAAAATAAGAGAGAGCAAGTGATGGGCAGAAAGGAGGCCCCTTGAGTCCCGCGCCTGGAGGCCCTGCCCAGGAGATGCTGTCCCTCATGCCAACTCCCTCCCTCACTGCATGTTTCCAGCACTGCCTGGCCTCGCCTTCCCCCTCTCTGCCTCTGGCCTGGCCTGGCCGGGATTTTCACTTGCTTTTCCCCCATGACACGGCCGCTTTTCCTTTAACTCTCAGCTTCTATTTAAAAAGCTAATTTGGGAGCTTGTCGATGCTCCCAATTCAGACATTTTAAATAGGAACTGAAAGTCAGGAGCTGCCAGGGCACTAGATTTTTCTCCCCTCGCCACCGGCACAGCTGAGGCATTTGTTCAGTCATTCTGCTGGTCCTGGCCTTTGTGTGTGTGTGTGTGTGTGTGTGTGAGAGAGAGAGAGAGAGAGAGAGAGAGAGAGAGAGAGAGAGAGAACACTAAGGGTATATTTCAGGCTCTCTTTTCTATTTAAAGACGGTGCTCCTATGCATAACTGTTCTCTCTGTATGTATGTCCTTTCCAAGCTGTACACACATGAGGATTCTTCTTTAGTCCTGTGGCTCTGGCTGCTATTTGCAGAGCTTGTCGCCGTGTGGACTGTGAGGCAACCCAGCTCCAAGCCTGCAGCCTCTTTGCTGACATGCCAGGCTGGCGTGTCTGCGTGGCTTTTCCCGGGGCTGATCTGCTCAGACTCGCCCTTTGAAGCTGTGCCTGAGTGCCCACAGGGCTGCCCCCATCCTTACTGCCTCTGGCTGCCCCACTTCAGCAACTTGCCCCATGATGGGGCAGGAGTTTGAAGGGTGGGACCATACCTCTGAAGGTTGCAGGCTTTCTACAATACATTCAGGGTAGTATGTACCTTGGAGGTAGAAAGCACAGGCTTTCAGGTCAGACTGCCTGGGTTTGAACCTGCCCCACTATTTACTAGCTGTGTGATCTTGGGGAAACTACTTAACTTCTCTGTGCTTTGATTTCCTCATCAGCCATAAAATGGCAATAAATAGTAGTATCTACCTTATAGGGTCATACTATCACAAAGAAAGCACTTAGAACAGCACCTAGAACATGGAAGATATAAATGTTGGTTGTTGTTTAAGGCAGGAGTGGAGTGAGCAGGAATTGTGAAGAACTCTGCCTGAGGAAGATGGTAGAACGGGTTGGATTATACACACAGACACAGACATACACCTCCATGCATGTAACTATAAAAATTCCAGGCCACACCACAGTAGGTCAAGTTCACCTTGTTGAAATAGGTGATTCCCTAAGCCCTAGAAGACGGAGGCTTCTGATGAAGGAATAGAGGAAGAGCCACAGGGATGGAGCTAAAGGAGCTGGACCATGTCGGTATTCCTGGAGCTAAATTTATGGAACGGTAAGTCCCAGGACCCTCAATATCCATATGGACCCACTCTCCCTGATTTACTTAACCATGTAAAGCAAGGCTTTATGAAAGTGGAGCTGCAATGAGCTGCTCATAAGGGGTGGCCCCTCATTCTCTCTGAGCCTCCCCTTGAGCTTGGCGCCCTCTCACTTTGATCCCACCATTGCTCCTGTCCCTAGTCCTACCACTTGGCATATGAGCATTTCTTTAGTGGCTGTCTGAATTCATGTTGCCTCCGTCCCTGAGCATCTAATCAAGGTACAGAGAAGCTGAGTGGCTTCCCCAAGGTCATACAACTAGGGATTCCTTGGATTTTACTAGGCTTAGCATATCAACTTTAAGTTGAGAAGCCACTATATTCTGGACTCCTTGCTAGGTCTCTAATAATCCTGCACTATAGATATTACCACCATTTTATAGGTGGACAAACGGAAGGTGGTTGATGTGTAGGGATGCATCCCAGGCCACACACCTGGCGCGTAGCTCTGAGCCCTCCCTCTTGCCACTCCCTCAGGGTTATTGGTTTGTTGCTTTTTGGAGGGTAGAGTGGATCCCTTGGTCAGAGAGAGGCTCCAATAGTTAGATAGAGTGTCAGATAGTCAGAGGATCTGCCCTAAAAGGATGCTCTTGACCTGGCTCTGTTGGGCTCTCCTGTGTTTGGCCTCCGCAGGCTGGATGGGGTGAGGGCTCAGTGTGTCCAGGCTGTGGTTGTACCCTCTGAGTTTTCTTCAGGGTCAAGTCTTCCTGAGGAATTCCAAAACTGAGTGGTGCCTTGGCTTTCTCTCATTTTCCGAGGTGAGGTAGGTGGCAGTGTTGTAAATGCCGAAGAACTTCGCTCCCGCCTCAGCAGGTCAAGCGTTGCCTGCTGGGTATCAGCTCGATTATCCACCTTGGACAGGCCAGGATGTACTGTCCAACATTGATGGCCCTGATGGCTGAACTCTCACAACCATTAGATGCTTCTGCTCCTCCCTGAGGGAGTGGGGGAGCCTTCACTTCTTGACGTCCTAACCCCATTTGGGAGGCCAATAGTTGCCTGGGTGGTCATCTCATTAGTCACAATGTTTAGATCAGCTATGGCAAATGAGAAGTCCTCACATTGGTGGGTTCCAGTAGAGCTTTCCAAAAGTCATTCCTTCCAGGGCATCTTTGTTAGCCTGGTACCTGCTCCAACCTAGGCAGTTCCCGGGTAGGCAAAGCCCTAATAGGGTGCTTTCTGCTCATTAAGACCTCAGATGGAGAGACTAGGTGATGGAAGAGGAAGGAAGGGAAGAAGGAAAGCAAGACTGAGAAGGGGACGCAAGCTCTGGAAGGAAGAAAAACACCCTCATCATTGTTCAGTGTCTTGCTGGAGACAGTTTGAAGAAGGGTGGCTAAAGGCGGCAGGTACCACTTGTAGCTGCAGTGACTGCTTTGTTCTCTGGTTGGCTCCTTTTCTCCATGTGCTGATGCTTCCCAGGGGTCTGTCCATGACCACTTCTATTTCTCCATCAGCCCTTTTCACTGGAGAGTCGATGGGAGTCACTGGTTTCAAGTTCATTCTGACATTGACAATCCCTTCCTGAACTCTCCCCTAACTATCTGACCCCTACCTATCTATGTACTTCTCCACCTTGTCCACAGGCACCTCTCAGTCGCATCTCACCACCCTCCTTCAACTTTCTACAATAGATCATTTTCTCTCAAACAAACAAAAAAACCTGTTCTGATCATGTTATCTCCTTTACTTTTTGGTCTTACCTTCTCCCATTCACACACACTTTTCTTTCCAGCACATACACTTGTTCTCTGTTACCTGACCAAAGCACATCCTTTCACTCCTTCATGCCTTTGTATACAGAGGGTGCCAAAAAATGTATACACATTTTAAGAAAGGAAAACTGTATTAAAATTGTAATACTCAATATATACCAATAACACAAGATGAATACAAGTCATGTTTGACTTCTGCAATTACAAGAGGTGCTCAAAGTGGTTACCATCAGCATCCAGACACTTCTGATTACTGCAAACTGCTTGAGCAACGCTGACCAAAGTGTCCACTTGTATACATTTTTTTGACACTCCCGGTATACTGTACTGTCTTACAGAACTGCCCTCTGCAACTTCCTATTTCCTTCTGTCTTCCTACCAAACTTCCACTCAGCCTGAAACCTTCAATACCCAGCCCAAAGGTCACACAAGCCATATTGGTGAGCTCCACCCCTATTCCCCACAGTCCTTTCTCATACCTCAAATATAGTTCTTATTACCTTATTTGTTTGCATGACAGTCTCCCTCTCTGGCTTTAAGTTGTTTAAGGCAAGGACCATTTCTTAGCCATCACTGAATGTGCTAGCTCAGTGCTCGGCACATTGTAGATGCTCAATACATTTGCATTAGGAATTTATTTTAACTTTCATTCACATGGTTCCCTTGATTGTGTGTAACAGAATATGCAATAAATTTGTCAACTGGTCACCTCTGGGTCCTATCTGATTGATCTTAAGCACTGGCATGAAGACAGAGAGAAAAGGATGAGGGTTCGATTTTTGGCTGATCCTAGGTGAAAAGAGCCCCAAAGACCTCCTCCTCCAGCCTTTTCAGATCTAAAAAATCAGCCCCAGTCAATGCTGCTTGCAAAGACCTGGCTGGTGTTCTGTTCTTGAATGAGACTGGTTTTCAGGGAACTCTTTCCTTTCCTTTCTGGTGGAATGTTAATTACATCCCCAGAATATCACCTTCTTGGGAACAGCTAGGATGTGGTCAGTGGGAAGTGTACCTGGTTGCCTGCAGCTGTGACTGTGCTTGCCCATAAAAACCAGCATGGGGACCTGTCAAAAACCCATTAGCCAAAACCCTGGCTTGGCTCAAGGAGATGCAAAACCAAAGCTTGCTGGACTTGAACTATAAAATTGTGTGAAAACCATACTAGGAAACCTGGGACACTGGAGGCTTTGTGGTGAGAACACGGGCGTGGGGTAGACCTGGCTTGACTCTATAAGCTGTGTGATCTTGGGCAGGCCACTTTACTTCTCTGATCTTCGGTTCCCTCACCTGTAAAATGGCTTATAATGATAGTATTGACTCATAGGGTTCATGTGATTGAATTAGATAAAGCATATAATGTCTCATATACAATTATAAATAAAATGCTGGCTATTATCATGATATTGTAACTTAACTGAGTTTACATGTGTCAGAAACTAGCTCTTTTAAATCTTGGGCACAGCTCTCTATAGTGTTTGTTTGTGAATAAGTTTAGGCACATCACTCAAATTCTTTCCATGTCATTATTTTTCATACTGAGACCTCAGGAAATGTGTGAAAATACGTTTTTCTATTGGCTCCTCTCTTCATTCTGTGGTACCCCATTTCTGCAGCTTTAAGCTTCAGGTGCCTGTCTCTCCCCATTCCCTCCTTATTAGCAAGAACTGATAAAATCATTTAAACTAAAGTGTAAGTAACTGTCCAGTCCAGAGACACAGAACAGTAAAGCCTTGGATTGCGAGTAACTTGGTTGGCGAGTGTTCTGCAAGATGAGCAAACATTTCTAATACATTTTAACTTGGTAAATGAGCGATGTCTTGCAATATGAGTAGTTTGTTTCCAGAACAAATTATGCTTGCACCCAAGGTATTACTGTATTCACATTTTAACAGAACACAGCCTTAAGCCAAGGCAGTGAAATAGAGTGGGTAGGATTTTAGGCACCCATCAGAGTAATGGGGGAGATAGGGGACTCTTCCGAACTCTGGAGTCAATGTTTACTGGTCCCATTAATGCAGCCATAAGCAACAAGGTGGGCTTTTTCTGAATTCTGAAGCTAGAAAATCAAGTCTCTAGCCTTTGCGAAAGTGTTAAAATAACGGGATTTGTGCACCCATTTTTTGTACCAACCTCTTCTTGGTAAACAAACTCAGCTCATGAGTACCAAGGCCCCTTCCAGCTCTGCACATCCATTATGCTCATATTCAAGTGCATTTTTTCATCATAGCACAAACCTTGGGTTGGGTGTTTCCACCTCACTGGGTGTGAGGGAGATCCAGCTGGAAAATTGTTAATTGCTTTGGTGAGTCAACAAGTAAACAAAGACAATCCAGCTACTGTCCCCATAATATAAGGTCATAAAAGGTTTCTAGATGTCTCTACAAAACCTCATTAAAGAAGGATCATCATGGCCCTTAAAAAATTCTTTATGATGGAAAATTTCAAACATATGAGATCAGACAATTAAGTTTGTGAACTCATCTAGAAAAAGTGCTACATACCTCATTGATGAATATCACTACAGTCACCTTTGAAGTATTCCCCTTGGGAGGCTATGCACCGACTGCAGTGCCTATTCGACCCTTCAAAGCAATTTTGGAACCCTTTTTCTGGAATGGCCATCAGAGCTGTTGTCGTATTATCTTTGATGTCCTGAATGCCATAAAAATGTCTTCCTTTCAATATTTCCTGTATCTTTGGGTAAAGAAAGAAGTCATTGGGGGCCAGATCAGGTGAGTAGGGAGGGTCTTCCAATACAGTTATTTGTTGACTGGCTACAAACTCCCTCACAGACAGTGCCATGTGAGCTGGTGCATTGTTGTGATGCAAGAGCCATGAATTGTTGGTGAAAACTTCAGGTCATCTAACTTTTTCATGCAGCCTTGTCAGCACTTCCAAATAGTAAACTTGGTTAACTGTTTGTCCAGTTGGTACAAATTCATAATGAAGACTCCCTCTGATATCCAAAAAAAGGTTAGCAACATCGTTGCAACAAGTTCGTGAACTTAATTGTCAAACCTTGTATACAAAAGAAGAGAGAACTGTATGATGTGCCACCCCATAAACCTATCCCTTGGCTTTGATAATTACCAACTCAAGGCCAATCATGTTTTATCTACCCCTACTCACCACCCCCCACCCCAATAATTTTAAAGCAAATTCCAGATGTCATATAATTTCATCTGTAAATATTTCAGTAATTGCACCCTGCTTATGGCCAACAAAACCCATCTCTCCAGGGGAAAAGTCCTTCCTACCTTCCCTCATGCTGCTAGGAACTTTTGGCCTACCTGCACCTGTGCCCCAGGGATAGTCCTTGGGTTAGACAAACTCGAGGGCCTACTGAATTCTGTCCAAAGTCTGTCCAGCTCCTCAGGGAGGAAGGGGCATGCATAATATGCCATGTAGTGGTGCTTCCATGTGCAAGATTTTTGGTGTCAGCAGGGTTGCTGCTCAATAATTGAAATGAACCCAAACTAAGAGACAAGAATCATAGTCATGAATCTCAAGTGGACTCTGCATTTTTCACATTTTAACTTCCCCTATTCTTTATTTTATTCCCATCTTACAGATAATAAAACTAAGGCCTAAGGTCACACAGTTCATAGGTACCTGTGACAGAGACTGAGTAGATGCTAATCAAACTTAATTTCTCTTTTTCATGGGAGTAGCTAGAGTGTACTTCCCTGGATCCCTTGCAGTTGGGTTTGGCCATGTAACTAAATTCTGGCTAAAGTAATATAAGCCAGTCCTATAAAAGACATCCAGGACAATCCTGCTCTCTTTCTTTCTTCATCTACTGGCTAAATGGAGAGAATTTCCAGGACCTAGAGGAGGGCAGAACCACAAGAAAGAAGGAGCCTGATTCCCTGGATGACTGTGTGGAGCAAACACCTAACCTTTTTTGGACTGTGAAGTGAGTGAAAAAATAAACTTTTATTTTATTATGGTAAGCCACTGAAATTTGGGTGATGTATGTTACTGTGGTAAGCCTACCCTGACTGATGCAGTGGCATAGATAGGATTTAAACCCTAAGTCTTGCTCTGCACTACACTACCTCCAAGTACAAGAAATAAGAATCGCTTATAAGACTCTCCTACATGCTCTAGCATTTGAAAGCACTGTCTGCAAGGGTCTTACATCTTAGATTTGTACTGTCTATTTGTGGCAGCCACTAGCCACATAGGGCTATTAAAACTAAAACCAAAATCAATTAAAATTTTCTTTATCAATATCTGTTCGTTAATTGCACTGGTCACATTTCAAGTGCTCAATAGCCACGAGTGGCTAATAACAATCACATTGGACAATTCAGATAGAGAACTTTTCCATCATCATAGAAAGTTCCACTAGACAATGTCTTTGATAGATCTGGCATTCACAATGCAGCTTTCCCCAAATCCCCACCGAAAAGCTGGGGGTGTGTTCATGACAGGACAGAGGGTGGTCTGGCCAGCCATCAGGTTGCCTCAGGCATAACAGGCCTCTCCCCTCCCCCAGACCTAGGGTCTTTGCTCCTGCCTCTCTCTTTTAACCCTTCGGCCATAATCTGTGGCCCTCCCGTACTCACTGGTAACATGCCTTGCTCTGACCTCCTCACACAGAACGAACCCTCCCTGTGTTATTAGACTGTGTCTCCTGAGAGCAGGGGCAGCTTCTCATTCTCACCTCAGCTCACCTGTGCGGGTGCTGAGCATCAGACACCAAGACATAGACAGAGGACCCAGGGCTGTGCTTCCTGGTCTAGGCTAGGGATACCCAGTGAATTTTTCAGAAAGAGAAGCCCTACCAAGGAGGCCAGGACTTCAGTTCATTTTCCACACAGTTGCTAGAGCCATCTTAGCAAAACACAAATCCAACCATATTGCCTGTTGGTTGAAATCTTTCTATAAGTCCCCATTGTCCTCCAAATCAAGTAGACATCCCTTACCATGTCTCGTGTTGTTATTGAACCCTTGCTTACTGCTTCTGCTTTCCCACTTTCTACTCCTCATCCCCTTGAACTTCATGTTCTGGCCACATTGAAAGTGGTGCCATTCTCTAAACTCCAAGCTACTCTTTTACCCCCAAGTATAATATTTTCTCAGGCTGTTCTTACTGCAGGAACTCTGTCGTCGCTCGCCTCTGCTTAACTAAGCCTATATGTAGGGCTAAGCTTGGAAACGCTTCTTCCTGGAGGCCTTTCCCGCCCCTCAGCCTGGGACAGTCTTCCCTCTCTGTCTCCTCTGTCTGCATGCCCCAGCCGCTACAGAAATTTCCACACTTCTAAGTCTTCCCCAGGGAACAAAAAGGAGATGCTTACATTTGCTTTAGGAATCAAAAGCAAAGACTATCTTGCAGAGGTTTTTCTCAAGAGACTAGCCCTCCTTAATCTCCCTAAATTATGATTTTAGGTCCCTCCCTCCCCTCAACACACACACACACACACACATACACACGCACACGCGCTTTTCATCTATTTAATTCCTCTGCAGAATCCCCAAGGAGGCAAATGGAGCCCTGTAAATCTCTCACAAGCCACGATGCTCAGAGACCTCTGCTCCTTGAGCCCAACCAACCACTCAGAAAAAATGCCACTAAATTCATGGGGCAAGCCTGCCCCTCCCCCATCTGCCATGGTCTCATCAGCTGGAAATGGGGCCTGTTATACAGACTAGGGTGTGGCCATTACCATCCAAGCTGGTGCCGAGATGCACCATGGGTCTTCCCTTCACAGAGTTATTTTATGGGGATCAGAGCAGGCAGAGGCAGTGGACTCCAACTCCTGTGACAACATCACGATAAATCGCCATGGCGGGTATTCTATGGCTCTTAACTAGTAAATCAAATGTATTGAACAATACATTTACTGCAAATTTAAGAAGTCGTTCGTCCATTTTTTTAAGTGTATGTGTTAAATCATGCCCAGAGTCATAAAGAATGGAGACAGCCGGGCTCAGAGTAGGGAGGGAAAAAAAAACACCAAAACAAAACCCAAACAGTCACACAGATGCTTTAAAAAGTTAGAAAATTTTTCATCCTTTTTGACGAGACAGTGAATATGCTTTCTGATGGCTCCATGGGTGCTCTTACCACCCAAACAGACTGGAATTCCCATAGTGGTTAAGTGCATGACATCTCAACAAATGCCTGAGTTATTTTGCACATACAGGTTCAGTGTGAGCAGGCTGGCTCTTGGCTACAGATTCCTGAAGTGGACAAACAAGGAAACACACCACAGCCTTCTTTGTGAATTACAGAGCTGCTGGCAGTGGCATGATGGTGGGGAAGTAAAGTGTGGGGCAGTGCGAGTGACGGACTGCTTTGCCCTAGGAGGATTCCTTTTACTTCCCGTTTCACCCAACTCAAATGCCATTGAGTTGAACTGAAGTGCCAATTTAAGGTTGCAGTTTTGCCCAGGACAGTGGGTATGCTTTTTTCTTATCTACATCAGCTTCCCGATCCCCCCACCCCCCAGCCCACCTAAATATCAACATGGAGCATTAGCCCAGAGTCTGGCATTCAATAAACATTTTAACTAAACTGATATGTCTTCATCCACTAACATTAACTCAACAAACACTTATTAAAATGTTCATTCACTTAACATATTTATTGGATGTCCACTAATTGCTGTGCTGGCCATTTGTGCTGAGCAAGTGGACACAGGCCCTGCCTTCTTGGAGATCTGCATGAATGTTAGGCTCACTAAACCTCATCTGGGGCTCAGTGAATCCTGAGGGGTGGAGGGAAGCTAGATATGCAAATTCTCTAAACACTCTCATGAGGTAAATCTATTATTTCTCCCATTTCTCTGATGAAGAAGCGGATGTGAGTGTCACACAGCTGCAGTAGTGACAGAGTTAGTACATGTGACAGGGGTGTGCATGGAGAGCTAAGGGAGCACCGGGAGGAGGCACTTAGTCCAGCCTGAGGGGTCAGGGAAGATGCTCTGGAGGAGATGACATCTGAGCTGAGTTTGGAAAGATGACAAGTTATCAGCCAAATGACTGAGGGGATGAAGTAAATGACAGACAGCAAAGACACCAAGGTACAAAAGAGCTCAGGGTGTGACTGGAATGTGAGGCCAGAGGCAGTCACAGCAGGGGCTGAGGCTAGGAAGCCAAGCCAAGGAGCTGGACTCTAGCCTGAAGGCTGCAGGGGAACACCGATGGGCTGCAGGCAGAGCTCCTAGGTCTGACAACTAAGTTCACGAACTTGTTGCAACAATGTTGCTAACCGTTTTTTTGATATCAGAGGGAGTCTTCATTATGAATTTGTACCAACTGGGCAAACAGTTAACCAAGTTTACTATTTGGAAGTGCTGACAAGGCTGCATGAAAAAGTTAGATGACCTGAACTTTTAGGCCACAATTCATAGCTCTTGCATCACGACAATGCACCAGCTCACATGGCACTGCCTGTGAGGGAGTTTTTAGCCAGTCAACAAATAACTGTATTAGAACACCCTCCCTACTCACCTGATCTGGCCCCCAATGACTTCTTTCTTTACCCGAAGATAAAGGAAATGTTGAAAGGAAGACATTTTTATGACATTCAGGACATCAAAGTTAATACGACGACAGCTCTGATGGCCATTCCAGAAAAAGAGTTCCAAAATTGCTTTAAAAGTGGATGAGGCGCTGGCATCGGTGCATAGCTTCCCAAGAAGAGTACTTCGAAGGTGACCATAGTGATATTCATCAATGAGGTATGTAACCCTTTTTTTAATGAGTTCATGAACTTAATTATCTGACCTTGTATGCTTCAAATAACAATCAGGCCCAGTAATGTGGACAGTGAGTTTGCAGAGGACCAGATAGAATGCAGCGGGACCAATTAGGAGGCTACTTCAGTGACCTAGGAGAAAGAAGATAAGGACCTCAGTGAGAGAGTGGAGCTGGGCATGGAGAAGAGGGGGCATGAGAGGAAATTGTTGGAAGTAAAAATGCTCAGGGCTCTGATTGGCTGGATGTGGAGCAGCACAGAGTCCCAGGTTAGGCTGTGCTGCCTGGCCAGATGACTGTGCCAGTCTGGGGCAGGGGACTGCAATGCAGAGGCAGCTGGAGGTGGAGGCGCAGCCCTTCCTGGAGGAAAGGATGGCCAGTGTTCCCTCTCAGGGCCCTTTCCAGATAGAGTTGTTTATGCTGGGCTGGAGGAAGCTGTCATCTGGAGACATCAAAGACCTGCGAGCAATTCAACCCTAAGAAACAACTGGGGATTCCTGATACAAATGCAACAACTCCTTCGGTTGGAGGGGAATGAATTTTCAAAATAAGGCCAAACAAATCTCAGCATGGCAGAATCAGTATCTAGAGGTGTATAGAACTGCTGATCTCCTGAGAGATAAGAGGAGAGATTTGCTCTTGGGTCTCATCCCCTGCCGTTCTCTTTCCACACCCTTGTCGTTCCCCCACATGCACGCACACATGCGCACACACACGTGCACACATGCGTGTGCGCTTCATCATCCCTCAACTTCTCACCTCCCCCAGACACACCAGGCCCTTTCGCACTCCCTCTTTGCACCTGCTGTTCTCTCTGCCTGCAGAGTCCTTCCTCCTTCTCCACTGGGCAAAATGTATTTCTTCTTCCAGCCAACCCAGATGCCAGTCCTCTCTGATGTCCAGCCCCACTGCCCCAGGCATCTGTGCCATGCTTCCCCCTCGTGGTGAGTTCCTCTGAGGTCTTTTGTCAGCACCAAACTGAACTCCTGAGTCTTCTTTATCTTGGCTTCCCTGGCAACTGCACAGGTCTGACCGTCACTGGTGTTCAAAAACCCCTTGTAGAATGAACAAGCACATCCCTGGAGATGGGCCACGTGCACCTTTCCCAGCCCTGGTCCTGAATCCTGCACGTCATTGAGGAGGATCATCTCTGCCCTGAGCATGCTTCCTTGCCACCTGGGAAATGAAGCCCCAACACACATGTATACCACGCATACACAGAGATATGCACATACACACGCACACCCATACACACATATACATGCACACACACATGCATGCACAACACACATGCACTCACACACACACACAAGACAAGGACCATAAATGTGGTGCCTGCATTTACTCTCAGTTCTACACGAACAGGTGTGTCTATTCTCTGAAATCGGCCTTCATTTTATTCCCATTTTACAGATGACGGCTCTGCCTTCAGGGAAGGCAACAGCTCTTCTGGGCTGTTTAACATCTTCAGGGCAAAATGAGTAGGTGAATGAGATCATCTGGGGTTCTGCCCTTACTGAGATTCCCCAGGCTGACCACAGCTGGAGGCCCATATTAAGGCCCCAGAGAGCAAGGCCTTTGGTCATTTGTCAGGTGGCCTGTGCAGTCCCTCTGACTGGCTACTAGAGCAGGAGGAGACTGACCATGGTGACCCAGCTTGTCAGCCTCCTGGGCACCTTCACTGCCTCCCTCCGGCTAGGCGCCTTGATCTGGCAAAGATGGTGCTCATACCAGGGAAATAGAAAATGGTCAGGAGGGGCTGGAGCTATTGTCCTGGTCATCACTATCCCCATCATTATTATTATGCAATTAATAACAACAGCAGTGACAGAGGTACAACAAGCTCTTACCTGGCATTTGAATTGTGTTGCACACTGTGCTAAGGCTTTATATGCATTCCTATTTTTAGTCTTTACAGCACTTCTATCATCTCCATCTATCAGTTGAGAAAAAAACAAAGGCACAGAAAAGTTCAGCAATTCTCTCAAGATCATTAGCAGAGCTGGTCCTTGGAACCAAGCAGTCTGACCCCAGGGCTCCTACTCATAAATATTACTTTGTGGAGAGGCGCAAAGGCCGGCCAGTACCCTGCCGATCTGTGAAGGGACAGAGTGGAAAATGAGAGGCCTGCAGAAGGCCAGAACCTGCTCAGTGCTCTAACCTCTGCTCATCTTCCCAGGCTTCTCCAGCTCCAGCAGGGCTGGGTGTCCGCTCCTTGGCAGGTGACTGGGGGTGCTGGGTAGGTGAGCTGCGGTGCCTCTGCCCACTCTCAGCCCCTGGTCCCTATCCTCGCAGTGGTAGCCGTTGGATTGCTGCCTCTCTTGGATGCCTGGATCACTGCTGTCTGGAGCCTAATCCCCGTACTGGTGGTTTTGGTTGCTATGGTAATTGAATTCACTTAAAGTTGTCTCCAAGCTCGTCTGTCTACCTCTTCTGCCCACAGCTGGAAGAGCACGAGCCCAGGCTGAGAGCAAGAAGGAAGGCTTGGTGGCCTGGGAGGCCTGAGTGCTTTTCCTGATCCAGGTGTCCTCCTCAGAGGCAAATAGAGGAGAGAACCATGGAGACATGACCCTTCCCAGTCTCCTTCCATCGTTCTCTGTGCTGTCTCTCTCCTTTCTGCGTACTCTGGAATTAGACAAGCTGCAAAGGCAGGAGCTGGCAACACCACTGCGGGGGGCACTCTGAGAGCATCTTTTGTTCCTCAGCATTTCGTTTACTCATTCAACAAACAGTGAGAGTGGACTGTGTTCTAGGTAATGTTGTTTGTCTCTGGATGCTGGGGTCTTTCTGGGGGCAGCTCAGGATCCAGGGCTACAGGAAATGCCCCCTTGAGAGCACATTTCCACATGGATACCACTCTGAGATTTTAGGGGAATGGCCAGCCAGGGTGGGACCCTGACAGGGAGATCAAGGATTATGAGTAAGTTCTCTTTCCTCCTTTCTCTGCTGGAGGGAGTTTCATCAGACTGAGCTGAAAGCATCTTGGGACTTGAGGGGCAAAACATATTCGCGCCCTGTACCATTCTCATGTGGGAGAAATTCTGGCACATAAGGTAAATAATAAGGGAGGAAGCCAGTGACGAAGAGCTGCCTGAGGAGTGTATGGGATTGACAGACCCTCCCCCAACCAACACCACTATGCTTGGATGATAAGGGACTGGCGCAAAGAAACCTACACACAGTAGATTATGGGTGACTGCATGTTTGCAGGTCTCAGCCTTTTAAGTAATAGCTGTATGAAGCATGCAAAAATCACACTTATACAGCTTCAACTGTGTGCCAGGAGCCGTGCTCTAGCTGGGAAGACAAGGATGACTGACATGGCAGAGACTTTTGAGGTGCTTGCAATCTGGAAGGGTGACAAATGAGCAAAGCAAAGGGTGTGTCCTATAAGAGGGGGAAGAGCAATACATTCTGGGAACCCAGAGCGGAGACAAGAGGGAAGGCGTGTCCAGGAAGAGTGTGCACAAGGCGGGGTGTGTTGGGTTGTGTTTCTCAGGGTGAGAAGGAGTTCTCGAGACAGAAAGTCATTCTGTGCAAAGACAAGAGCATGAGCAAAAGCACAGAGGTGTGAAAATGAGCAGCATGTCTAGTGGTGGGCGTGCAGGCTGAGCGAGGAGAGCAGCAGGGAGCCGAGCAGGAAAGGCCAGGTGACGCGAAGTCCAGTTGGGTTGCATCCTGTAGACCGTCATGGGAAGATCTGTGTTTCAGCAAAACAACTCTAGCAGGTAAGAAGGGAGGTAGACATGGGTGATCAGGGGACCTGAACTGGGCTGTTGAACCAGCAATAAAACAGACCCAGCCAAGAAGGGAAAGCAGCAGTCTGTGGCTCTGGTGAGGGATTGGCTGTGGGCGTGTGTACGCAGGAGGAGGGCAAGTGTTGGAGGAAGCGGAAGAGTCAGAGAAGTCTGTGCATAATGTCGGGGTGGGGAACGGACTGAAATAAGGTGCCAAAGGCACCAGCTCTGGGAGCTCTGTTTGGGATGGGTGAGTAAGGTGTCTGGTAGAGTCAAGGGCAAATGCCCAGTGGGCAGAAGGAAGAATATTTCCAGCACTTGGGAGAGAGCTGCTTGTTGGAAATGTGTGTGTGGGGAGCATGAGCGTAGAGGTGACAGCTGAAGTGGGAAAAGATGTCACTGCCCGGGGAGAAGGCACAGAGAGGCACGAGAGGAGACAAACACAGCACTGTGGAGAGTGGGCCAAGCAGGGCAGCCAGCATCCTTCAGGATGGCGGGGGAGTGACCTGGAGTCTGCGGCCGATCCGATCGGAGAAGGCAAGCACCCACATGGCGTGGGCTTCAGAAAAGGTGCTGCAGAGAGCAAGTTGTGGAAATTTGGCCTAGAGCAGTGGCTCTCAAACTTAAGTGTGCAGCAGGAGGTCTTGTTAAAACACTGATCATTGGGCCCCACCCCCAGAGTTTCTAATTCACTAAGTCTGGGGTGGAGCCCAGGAGTTTGCATTCTCAACAAGATCCAAAATGCAAAGTGATACTGCTGGTCTGGGGACCACATTTGGAGAACCATCAAGTCTGTGGTCTAGATTGATAAACCCACACTGAGGAGGTTCAAATGCAAATTCATCTACTCTTTATCATGGCGCACGTTGGACATGAGGGGAGAAGGCTGGGCTTTGGTTCGAGAACAGAGGTGGAGGAAAGGGTGAACGATGTAAGGCAGCTCCCTGGAAGTAGAATAGATGCTACTGAGGATACAGGGATGGAGATGGGGAGGGGCATTGGCAAGGGAATGGCAGGTCAAGGAAGGCTCCAGTTATGATGACACAAGAGGAGGGTGTCCTGAGGAACTACAGCTGTGGCCAAGACAATGGGTCATGTGAAGAGGAAGGTGATGAATTAGGGAGAAAGGAGTATGGGGGTTAGAACCAGCCTCAGGGTTCTGTTTAGCATCCTGGCCAAACGTCTAGAGCCTCCCCACTCCATATCTGCATCCCTTTCCCCAATCCCTCCCTTCTAACCTCCAGAGTCATTGCCTCAGGCCTTCCCAAGCATAACTGAGGCAGCTTCCCTATCTCCTGGGCCATTTCTCATGGGGGCTGCTCTGAGGGCAAGAAGACCTGGTGCTTGTTTTATTTTGCCTCCAAGATCTCAGATCAGGGACCTGAGTCACCCTGAGGAGGATCCTGACCTCAATGCCAGGCACCCTCTTGGGCTGACCCACCCTGCTGGGGGAGGCACAGAACTTGAGTCTTATTTTCTATCAGTGGAGCAAGTCCATAAAGAAAATCCAGTTCATCGGGGTTCAGGAGAACATTACCAAGATAGACGAGACTCCATGGGCAGTATTTAATTATGAGCAGGCAGAGCAAATAGGAGGGATGTAATAAAAATGCTAATCAGGGAAGAAAAAAAAAACACGTTTCGGTTTCTTCTAGAATAGACTAAAGCTATCCTCCCCCTTTCCTCTTCCAGACCCCAAATATGTGTGCAGGCCTGGTTCTGACTGTGAGTTAATGACAAGTGAGTCCCTTTCAGCCCCAATTCACAGCCTCTTCCTGCTTCCATCCTTCCAGCCTCCCAGTTCCTAGAAGATCTGACCCAGAGGGAGGGAGGCTGGCTTTCCTTGCAAGCACACGGCTTCCACTTCAGCCAGGAAGAACCAGCAGGGAGCTTGGAAAGTCAATGAAGTTATTATCCAGGGCTCAATTCCATGTCTCAGGGAGCACTTTAGGAAGCGACCAGCTCCCCTTTCAGCAGCACATCCAGAATCTACACAAGGAGAGAGCTGGGAAGAGCCCGGAAACCAGCCTGGACTCATCAGCCTCCAAGCCTGGAAGCCAATCCAACTCAGAGCCACTTAGGAAGAGATTGGGGACACTCCGCCAGTTCCAAAGCCTTATGTTCCCAATTGCATTCAACTTGGCTAAGCTCGACTTTGAAGCTCAGGATTTTGCAGGCCATTATTTCGTCTTGCTATCAAGTCGGCTGACTCCTCACATAGTCGGATCCTATGAATCCTGGGTCCTCCATTGCTTGCTTGCTCAACTTCCACACTGCTGCCAAAGACAAATCTATTTCTACCATTTCCTTTAGTCTCTGGATGCCTGGGCCCAGGTCTCATGTTTGGTTTAGGTAAAACTTGCTTTCTTCACAGCCACAGGGAGCTTGACTCTGCCCAGGCCCTTTTCCCTAGGCTGACCTCTTGTGTTTACTTGGCTCACCCATCACCCTGGCTAGTGTCCATGCAATTTACTGCTCTCTTGATTAGTCTCTCTCTTGTCTCCTTAAATCTTGTGCCGCCATGAGCTGTTCAGCAGGGGCAGGAATTAGCCTGAGGTTTGCCTGGTATGTCATCCTAGATTGTCTCCCCTCTCTGCACACCACGAGGGGACAGCACCCACTCCCTCAACTCCTGCCTACTGTCTCTTCCTAGAAAAGTACCTGTTGGATAAACGGTTTGTATGCCAGCTCCCTTATCTGCTATGGGATCTTGGACAAGTTACTTAACATCTCTGGGCCTCAGTTTCCTCATCTAACAAATGGAGTAGACCACATTACCTACTTCAGATTTGTTGCAAGAATTGAAGGTAAATTCATACAAAGCCCTTAGAAGAGTGCCTGCCACATAATAAGCGCTCAGAAAATGTTATCTCTTGTCATCATCATCATTGCTATGATATTTATTATGAAGGTCAGTGACTGTCTTTATTTGCCTATATGTCCAGGTACTTGGTACAGTGTCTGGCATGAATAAACACTCAAGAATCACTGAATCAATGGATAAATGTACTTTTAAGCTAATTCTTCCAAAGATATTACACTTCCCAGAAAATTTTAAATTTAAATTTAAAGAGCGGATCTGCACATTGATGACAATGCTAAGGAATAAATGGCTGACAGTGCGATTCCAGGAGTCTCTGGGGAAGGGATTTAGAGTTAATGGTTGTTTTATGTCAACTCAGGCAGTCAATTACTCAAAATATTGCTACCCCGGGTCAGTAGTTCATCGTCCCTACAGTGGCATTTCCCTCCAAACTCTAAAGCAGTAAAATTGTAGAAATCAGCAAGGGAATAGAGGAGACGAAGGAACCCTCCAGGCTACAGGAACACCGTTTCCTGGGTCCTCCCTGGGCTCCAAGTCATCGCAACCTGAGTGTGTGCTGACGCTGGAAAGCCCACGGGGGCTTGTTCTCGATGAGACAGAAGGAGAGTGCTGCAGGCCAGCGGCCTCAGACCCTTCCGTGACGGGGTTCCTAGATTCCAGTCCTTGACTCTCCTGGGAGAACCTGGCCCCTTCCACACCTCGCCAGAGAGTTCTGGTAGTGGAGAGTGGAAATATCTTACCTAAATGTCACTGGAAGGCTGTGCTGTGAATCTGCTCTGAGCGGTTGGGATGGGATCTCGGTTGGAAGACACTGTCCATTTCAAATTCAGAAGCGGGGAGTGAATGCAGGCCTGGGAGCAGCAAGAGTCCCCCCCATGGTATCACAGCCCGTGATACCTTCGTAGACGTCATCACATATGCTGCTCACAACAGACAAGTGAGTGGGTTGGGTCCTTTATTTCTTTTTCTTTCTTTTGGTATTCTTTTAAAATAGATTATTTTCACATGGTTCAAAATTCAAAGGATCCTGAAGTCTATGTGGTGGAAAGCCCATCGTCTCTCTCTGCAGCCACCCACATCTCCCCCTTAGCAACCAGCACCAGTTCCCTGAGAAACCTTCCAGAGGCATTGGGTTGTCGGAAAAGTCATTATGTATGTTTTCTATGTTTTTCATTGCAAAAATGCATCATGACTTTTCCAACAACCCAATATTTTATGCACATACAAATATATATATATATACTGGGGGTGCCAAAAATGTATACAAGTGGACATTTTGGTCAACATTGCTCAAGCAGTACTTCGCCATAATCAGAAGTGTCTGGACACTGTTGGTGACCACTTTGAGCACCTCTTGTAATTGCAGAAGTCAAACGTGACTTGTATTTATCTTTTGTTATTGGTATATATTGAGTATTACAATTTTAATAGTTTTTCCTTTCTTAAAATGTGTATGCATTTTTGGGGCACTATATAAACACACACACACACACACACACACAATCTCTCCCTTCTTTACACAATGGAGAGAGTTTGCTTTACACACTGTTATCCATCTTGATTTTTTTTCAGTTAATAATATATTTTGGAGATTATTTGATATCAGTACATACAGACTTACATCATTCTTTTTGTGGCTACATGGTATTCTATTCTACAAATCCGTTTCTTTAACAACCCCATTTAAGACTTTTCAATCTTTAACTTTTGCAAATAGTGCTATAATGAATAACCTGTGGGCAGGTATATCTGTAGGGTATATGCAAGTGTACCTGAAGATAAATTTCCAGAAGAGGAGTTGTTTGGTTAAAGGCTTTATCAATTTGTATATATGATAGTTATTGACAAATTGTGTTCCATTAATAGCCCAGTTTTTTAGAGACAACAAAACTGGAGCTTAAGGAGGGTAAGTAATTTGACTAAAGTCATATATAGATTGTAAATAAAGAAATTGAGCCCAAAGAAATCAGGAACATCAGGCAGATTCATGAACTATAATAAAAAATCTACAGCTTCACATATTAAACATTAAATAATGTGGATAGAACTTTGAGAAAGCCATATAACCTACCTTGGGGGATCCTAGAGTCTAGAAAGATAGAGACATAAGTAAAGTAGCATCTTGGGTTTAGCATATGAATAAAGGATGAGATACAAGGAGATACAATGAGAACATTGGAAGGTCCCCGATCAGCTTTGACTTCCTGAAAGAGGAGGCATTTAAGATGACATTAGTTAATCTAAAATGTCCTCTCTAACATTCCTTATGACTTCCCTCTTCTTCGACCCTCACTATTTCCTGCCCCAAACCTTTTATCAATGTTATTGATAAGTAGCAAAATGGATTGCCTTGTGAGAGCATGGCATAGTTGGAATAGTAATAGAGGCTACCATGCACTGAGTTCCCACTGTGTGCCAGACTGTGCTTCCTGGCTCAGCCATTAACTAGCTGTGTGCCCTGGAGGAGGTAACATCTCCCATGTGTGCATTTGCGCTCACATCTCTAAAATAAAATGGTTAATCAGGTGATCCCTAGCTCCCCGCCAGTTCTCACATGCTCTATCTCCTTCTAAGATCACGGAAGCCTCCACTGGGGGATGGTGGACACGCAATTGTCCAGGAGTGGGAGATTAGGGGAAAGGAGTACAAGGAATGACTAGCTCTCACCCTGGCAAATCAGCAAATCACACTGGAAATTAGATTTTGAGAGAAGATTTTATACATATCAGATAAATAATAACACTGACAATACCTTCTGTTATATTATTCCAAGGTGATTTCATAACCTATTTCATGTGCTGTTCATAACAGTGATGGGAGGGAGGGAGTTAGGGAGGCACTAGTGTCTTCTGGAGGTTGGGGAAACTGAGGTTGGGCCAAGGTAGATTACTCAGCTTGTCCCATGTGGGGAAGTGGTGCAGCCCGGTCTTCTGTCCTGACACCTGACTATTCTGTTCTGTGATTCCATACTCACCGGGAGACATGATTCCGGTTGGGGGCCATCCCATGAGCCCCAGGGGCCTTTGAAGTACGGCCCCACCTCCCTCAGCACCCTCCCAGAGCACACTAAGTCTTTCCCTGGATGCTGGGACTAGGGCTTTATTTCCATAGAGTGAGTCTAACAAGGCTTGTGGGGACTCAATGCCAATCAACCTGGCTGCTTGGCCTTTGACTCAGCTGTGATGAGAAGACTTCTGCCCGTCCTGGTGCCAGCCTCCACTCCCTCTGCAACCTGTCTTATCTGTAGCTCCTCTGTGCCTGGGCGCTGCCTTGCTCTGTGGGTCCTTCCTGTGCTGGGAGTCCAGCCCTGCTCTAGGGCCCTGCCTGAGGCTGCAGGACCTCCCCTGGAACCACTGTGCATTGCCTGTTTCCGGGGCCCTTCTTCTATCCTCTGTTCAACAAGTAGACACCATCCACTGGGCCTCCCTGATGCCAACCACCAGGTAGGATGACTGTGCAGCTACCATGACACTTTTTCCAAATAATTCTCTGCCTGCTGGGCTGCCTGCCTCCCATAGCCTATCCCTAAGCTGTTCACCCACAATGGTGGGTCCCAGTTCCAGGCCCAGTCTGGGTGATCTGCTGATAATCTCTAAACTGTTTTTGAGAGCCTTCCCCTCACCCACCCCACTCAATCAAAGCTGGAAGCTGATGAGCTGGGTAACCCAGGCCAACTTGCTATCTGACCCTTTCTGGGGGCCTATTAGCCCATCTGAGAAAGTGACCCCTAGGTTCCCTTTCCTTGCAGGTATGAATAAGAACACAGCCATTTGGGGCCCCTTGAGGGAAGGCTCTGTCTGAAAACAGATGTGATTACTATTTTCATCACCTTTTTAATCCTTTAATCACACATTTGCAGCAAGGAGCCTGGGCAGGGTCAGTCCATTTATATAAACAGCAGGATAAATGAGGCTCTGTGCTATATGCCAACCACACTTAATGGAACCATAAGAATTGCTGGCCTTTTGTGAGCAGAAAACCGAATACTCCAGGTATTTATTCCAAAACAGCCCACATCCAAGTGGCTGGGACCTGTGCTCACATTATGACGGCTTTAACAGAGACATGTCATCCTTCCAGGACCATTGGGGATACTCTGTCCACGGGCTAGACAGCATGGAAGGACAAGGTCTCTGGGTAGTTGACTGCCCCTGAACAAGGAACCTCCCATGTCTCTGGCCCTTGGGTCTTGGAAGTATTATTCTGGAAGCCTGCCCCAACCAGGAACGGGGAAGCAGTCTAAGAGGTTTGGAGGCCATTGTTTGGAATGGGTCCCTAGTAGATAGAGGGTTGTTGCTTTCTTTTGCAATAGCAGGAGGATGGGACAAATGGTCCTAGGACTCTAGAAGGGGATGGGGAGCATCCCTCCAGGACTTCTCCATGTGTAACTGAGGCTGTCAACCAGCAGCCAGTTGGCAGAGGCA